TGCATAAGAGGGTCCAACATTACTACTACTACTACTACTACTGCTACTGCTACTACGACTACTGCTACCTGCTACTACCACTGCTACTACTGCTATTGCTGCTACTACTGCTACCACAACTTCTACCACTGAGTATGAGTCACACGACTGCTACTAGTAGTCCGTTGTTGCTCATGCCATCACAAAAGGTGTTGGTGTTTTTGCCAATATTCTGGGTTGGTAGGCTGATATTGTGCCTTTGGGCACGTGCAAGATTTCTCACTCTGTTCGGGCAAGAAAGGTGGACCTTCCTGGAGTTTCTTGCATGGGATTGGCCGGGAATTTCCACACAGACCATATTGGGAGCTATGCTATACTGGCTCTTTGCATTACCTACCATGGTGAGCATCATCCTTTCTATCGCGTACAAGGCTGGCTCTTGCGGGGCTGACATGTCAGTCTGTTTGTGGGATCCGATGTGCCAGGTAATATGTATTTCCACTATTTCATGGCAAGCTGATGCGTAATGTCAACTTAAGTTAGGTTCCCGCCCTTGTGGATCTGCAGCTTGAATTCAGAGCCTAGATGGCGTCGAAAAAGCGAGAGGTTTTCCTTCTTGAGCAGCTTCCCCTTTTTTCGCAAAATACTTGGGGAAGTTGAGCCACGGTGCCCTAAGCCTTAACTTAAGCACCATAAAGAACAAGTTGCCTTCATCCTGCATCTTGTGGAGGCGCGCAACCTGGGAAATTCCATTTGTGCAACTGGGTTGCTGCTAAGGAACTTAGATTGAGATACCCTGAAATGGGTGTACAGCACATATGCGGCTTCCTCGTTGTAGAAACCCTAAACCTTATACACCCCGTCATAATATGGGTGTATGCTAAATAGTAAGCTTTCTTTGCTGTAGTAAGCCTACACTCTAAGCCCTACCCTAAACCCTAAACCCTCCCTAAACCCTAAACCATAAACCCCCAAACCCAGGCTAAGCTGATGCTCTCCCTGGGGCTCGTCGCAATTGGGGCCCTGATGTTTGCAACCTTTTTCGCTGCAGCTTGGTTTCTGAAAATTCGGGGTTCCTTTGGGGGGCTATATAAGAGTTATATAGGTTAGAGTTTAGGTTTTAGGGTATTAGATTGACGAGTTATATAGGTTAGGGTTCAGGCTTTAGGGTATAGATTGACAGAAGTTAGCAGCATCATAACATCACGTGCAACAGGAACTAGACAGCCAGAGTCACGACGAATCGCGGAAATTTTGGGGTTTCCAAAAATGAGGGACCCCATACAAACGACAATGTACCATTACAATCCGTGTACAGGGATCCCCCATAAGCAGAGCCCGTTTCTGGCATCCCGCAGACCAGAAACAACACAACACAAGGATCAGCAGCTGCAACAGCAAAAGCAGCGGCAGCAGAAGACATGACAATGTTTAGCTAAAGTTGGCGGTGCCCATGATCTGCTACAAGTATCCGTTATGGTAGCCTAAACCCTAAACCCCAAATCGTAGATTCCATTGTATTTTCCGTTATCTCTATAGACCACCAAGTATTTCAACCCTTGGAATTCTCTTGTTTTTGAACAGTGCAGGGTTCATCTCATTGATAATGGAAGAGAACATGGAAACTACTAGATTATGAGTTATTTCATTGACCATTGTGTGTGGTGCTGTCCCCATGATTTTCCATCCACAGTAGAGGCAAGATATCTTGAGCTATTGCCGAGCTGGTCTATAATGTTCAAAGCGCGCGCAAGGTGGAAGTACGCTATCTCCCCGCTCTTTTCGACCATGATCGCTCTCGACTGATCCTTCTGATCATTTTCGGCCTATCGACGGGCCTCTTGTGGGGTTGTATCCCTGCAATGGCGAGGCGTGAGTCCCTGGTCTTAAATGCCACGAGCACCCAAGGTGCGGGCGAAGTTTGTTGACCCCACCTGCGGTTACTCGCTGTGCATAGCTCTTCGCATAACTTAAGGAATCTACCCTAGGAGCATCTCATAAGGGAGTTCCAAAAACCGTGGTTTTCATATGGGGTGTTCTTGTGTTTGGTAGGTATACAAATACAAATGGGCTGACGCTGTGGCCTTGGCTGTCTACACTGGTCATGTTTTGGTTAGCGTGATGATGTGTACTATACTCTAAACTCCTGACAGGGGGAATATAGGGGATTCTATAGAGTTTAGGATTTAGGGTTCAGGCTTTAGGGTCTCAACTCCTTAAAGGGGGGTTGTATAGGGGACTATTATAGGGGTTATTCAGGGGGATGCTAGGCTCATGGTAGATGCGCATTTATCAACGCCCGCAACTTCTTTGCATAGGGAGGTGCTTTGGGTCACAAAGACGACCACAATATGTAGTATTGTGGGGTACCGCCAAGATGGGGCCCATAAGGCGCCCACAACGAACAAGCAAGAACTCATGGCTGTGCGAAACGCGTATGCACAGCTGGCGCTGCAGTTGTGCCAAGATTCATGCATAAGCTTTAGCTTGGTACTTTTCAAGCCATCTGAGCTATAGTCCAAACTCCTAGTATCCCCCTGAATAACCCCTATAAAAAAATTCCCCTACTTATACATAAAAATCTCTATATAACCCCCTTTTAAGGAGTTTAGACTATAGCCCATCTAGATGATGGAGGACACCTTACATCACTTAGTTGATGTTTCATATCACCAGAGCAGTGGAACTCTTCGGGGCTCAGGGCATGCAACCTGGTGAGTTATCCTTATAAGGTAGTACGGCAGGGTACATGTTGGGGTTTTTGGGGATAATGGAAAGGAATTTGGAAACTACTGCTGTAATGGGTTATGTAGGGTTTAGGTGTGTAATACCTCCATCCGCAACCAGTGCGTCTCACTCTCAGTGCTACGCAGATCCGGCGTGGCAAATCCAAAGCTTCCTACTTGCTTAGAGGGTAAGCTTCTCGCTGCCACTATTACTATCCCAAAGGGTCCAGGTACCTATATAGTAAATACTCAGGGCCCAAAGGGGTTCCCACATAACTACTTTAGGGCCCAGATAAATACCATATAGCTACATGGACCCTTGGGGTATGACTACAAGGGCGACGACGATGACAACGACAAAAGGAAGAAGATGACGAGAATCTGTAGGAGGACGACTGCCGCTACTGATGTTTTACAAAACATGGTACTAGTATTACCACTGTACCGCTACAACCACTACCACTACTACCACCACTACCAGTATTATACTACTCCTGCTGCCACTACTACCACGACTGCCACTATAACCACTCCCACGTCTGAGGTAACTACCACTACTACCACCACCACGACTACCAGCACCAAAAAGTTTAGGGTATATATGGGTTCAGGTTTTAGGGTTTAGGTTTAGGGTGCCACCACCCCTTCCACCGCCGGCGCCGCCGGCGGCACAAGCAACACTTCTTGTAATGTAGTAGTTTCCATTTTCTGTTCCATTATCCCTCTATAAGCCCTGCTATAAACTATAGTAGTTTCCATGTTCCTTTGCATTGCCCGTTTATCACCCCTAGAAACTATACTAGTTTCTATTTTCTGCTCCATTATCCTCTATATGACGCCGCCACTACTCTTGGTTGTTTATCATCCGACTATCCACTACTACAGCTTCTGCTGCCTCGATGATTCTAGGAAACCCATATCCCCCTTGAGTAGGTAAAAAATTATGATATATTGTAAGAAGGGAATGAAAATGGAAACTACTAGTTGGGATTTAGGGTTTAGGCTTTAGGGTATACACCCTCACTGCCACATGCTGCAGCCGTCGCCCTGAAGAGCCGAGTAGCGCCAATGGCGGCAAAGGAAGTTGCGGCACATGACCTTGAGGTGAGCATTGGCGTTCCGGTCGAGAGACGCCAGAGTCGCGACAGCTCATTAGAGTCGTGGGAGGTCGGGGTCCCCCAAACAAATATTGCAGGATCTCAGGTTTAGTACGCTACAGAATACGGTCAGGGATTCAGTTTTCTGGGTTCTGGGGCATGGTATGTGGGGAGTCAAGGGGTTGATGATTTCTGGTTTGAGGATGCTTGTTGGTTTTCTTTGTGGGAAGGGTGCGGTTGAGGGGCTCCTTTCAAAAGAAGAGAAGGAATATTGTAAGTCCTTGTGGGTCCCTTGCAAAACGAGTCCATTCGGCACCTCCTCTTTCACGACGTGGCACGGTCTCCGTCTGGGGTCAAGGATGTGCAGCCCAGTGGCTGAAACACATGTAATACTCTTATAAATAAAATA